CAAGACACACACACACACACACATATATATATATATGTGATATATTTCACAGAAAATATGAGCAGTAAGTATGCATGTTCAGTGCAACTAAATGCTTTGCGACATTTCCGTGCTGCAAATTCGTCAATCAAGTTCAGGTTCCGTAAAATCTCGAACTCAATGTTCATCACTGAAAGGTAATTCAGTTTTTCCACGCAAATTGTGGAACGAAGGTACTTTTTATACACTTCAACGCAATTGCTTATCATCAAGCATAATACATGTGGAGATAAATATTCACATTACGGAAAGCTTCTTGCAGCCCATCTTGCATTAACATGCGATGCATGAAAAATTCCATGTTACAGTTATTGTCAGAAGCAATGTTACCTGCTTCTGCCTGGAAATATTCTCTGTAGTGAACAATTTCTTCAGAAAATACTGGTTCCAAGTCGCAAGGGTATACTTCAACAAGATTATCTGCCGCAGTTCGAAGTTCAGTAATATCCATAGTCATAATTTTGGACAAGAAACAGAGTTTCTGACACACTGAACAGTTTGGTCAAAGCAACAGAAAGCTGGTCAAGAATTGATAGAAACACTTCAATTCTTAATCGTTCACGTGCAGAAAATATTGTTTCTTCAGCAGGGCCATAACTATGCAAGACTTTCACACTGCTCTTGCCCTTTCAGTCACCTTATTTGTGTTCAGTATTTCTTGACTTCGCAATTCCCTTTCGTTCAAAGTTGTCGAAGGTTTCTCTGTAAAAAGCAACACATTCCTTTAGAGAAAGCAATAGTTTGACCACTTCATCCAGGTCTAGGTCTGCACTTTGAAGTTTGATGCTAGTTAGATGGTATCGTTCTAGGATTACTGACCAAAATTCCACTAAGATGTCATTTCAATAACGTTTCATTTTACTCACTAGTCCTGAAGCTTCCCAACGTGCAATGGCCTTCTCCTCGAAATCATATGCTATCTTCTGCAGAGCCAACTGAATTTTCTCATAACCTCGATTCAAAGTTATTGTGGCACAAGAGTGTGCTGACCAACGTATGCCACTGAAACGTTTCACAACAGGTAAGTCAATTCCAAGCTCATTCAGCAATATTGCCCACTGAGAAGTGGGTGCACTGAAGAATGTATACACATTCTCAACAAAATCGAAAATGCAGTTGCAGCAGTTACGCAATCAGCATAGAGTGTCCCACTAGATTCAATTAATGAGCAAAAAAAAAGTAAGAAATGTAATCAGCTATTGGTTTTTTGTTTTCTTGGATGAGTGCTTGAAGCCATTTGTCTGTAAACATTTTAGTAGTGAATGCTTGTTTAAATCATCAGCTGTTGATTTCGTCAGCAACACTAGTTACTCTTTATTATCGCTTGGCACTTTAATGATATGTAATAATGTCTTTCTACTAATTCTGTATTACTCAAATTATGTTTTCCTTGGACGATTCATAACATTTTATTATGAACAATAGGGCATAAATATTCAAAAGTCTGGTCGTCACTTGTTTACTGACGCTGAAACTTTCTGACCACGTAATATATAAGCAGACGATCTGCAAAACATGGCCAGCTGTATGCTCACATTCAGTGTTTTAGCCCAAAGACTTTTGCTGACATAAAGAAAAAGAGCTTGCCTGTCGGATCACTGAATAAGATAGGTCAGCTCCTACAGCACCTAGATCATACAGTAGTAAAATCTGAACTGGGACATTTTGCAAGTGTGTATTCAAAGCTAAATCAAAGCTTATGAGACCAGTAAATTGCCTTGGAAGAGGTGTTGGATGAGGGAGATGACACTGCTGATGAATCTGAGACTGACCACAGAGTAGAACATGAGAACGTTACTCTGTCAACACTTTTTCAGTGGTGCAAATGGTGTTTAACATGTGCTTTACAGTTTCTTGAGAACTACATGCTACATCCAAAAGCATATGACAACTTACATAAAGTGAATCACTTTCTTCTGATACTTTCCACTACTCAAATTCACTGAGAGAGATGTTTCTTGAAGCTAAACATGACAAAAAACAAGACTGGTGAGCCTATTGACAGCTGAGCATATCGAAGCTCTCATGTTCAGCATCTAGCTGAGATACCAGTCAAATCATAGAAATGCTTTCAAAATCATCTAATGAACTCAAACGGCTGCTGGTGTATTGAATTCATATTTTCAGATACTGTTAATGCATATAAACATTGTATTGGACACTTACATCTATTATTTCATGTATGTATTAGGTACATATAGAACGGGAACATACTAATACATAAAGAATGCATGTATTTTAATTTTTATGCACATCACACCTCTGTGAAGAACTATATTTTTACACATGGGTTTTGTATACCACTGAACATGCTAATATCATAAGTGTTTATAGAATTAAGAGTTAAAAGGCTGTCTTTAACATTAACGCAAGATTATTCTGACAAGAGTTTTATTTCTTCTTTGCAAGTTATGGATTCCTCACTCATAGTCTGATAATATGTAAGTACAATATGCAGTGCAATTTGATATGCTTCTCACAAATTATTAGGTCACCAATGGAGTGTCCGCAAAGGAGACCCAATTCACCACTGGCTTCTCCTTTTTATTTGTAAAAATGAAAATATATTGTCGTATTTGGAATGTATAGAGCCAACAGTAACGAGTAAGGTCCAAAAAGTTTAGACTTAGTACTGCGTCTTGGTCATGTCGAGAGGTTAGTTCTAACTGTGAAGTCAGAATGAACATTGTTAGATCTTCTTTTATCAGTTATTAATTATATCTGTATCAAAGTAGATCTAAATTATTAGTAAATCTCGCGTTAGGTCACTCCACTGACCTGTATTTGTAAGCTGCCCCAACAACTGAAACGGGTCTCGGTACAATTTTTATTTGACCTAACTATCTCATGTTACTGTTAACTATAATTATAAAGTATAACTTTAATCTAAGTATTACTGCTATCATTATCACTAGTAAAGTAATTTAGTAGTTAGTATTATTAGTAGTAATAATATTACTAGTATTAGTATTAAGCCTATTGTTTGATAATGCGATAGGTATTCTCTATACTATTGGAATTTAATTAATTTCATTTTAAATCAAAATCCCAGTAATATCACTGTCTATTTTACTTTTAATAATTTAATAATCCTTTTAAAAGTAAAACAGATTATCAAATTAACAAACAGTTAAAAGTTATACTCATTTATTGTTAAAAATTAGATACAATGAAGTATGTATTAGATAAGCTTTGCCTAATACCTTAATACTGTACAAATATGTATTTCAGTATTTGCATTTTGGTGGGTAGCTAGCAAATATTATAGTAAACACACTTGTGGAATATTAAACAAATTATACAAGGCTATATTATACAGTTAAAACTTGTCACACAGTGCACAGACTCAGTACTTCCTGTTATTCCAAGATTTAGATTCAATTTAATATTTGAAACCAAATGAAAAAATGCATAGTAGTAAAATAATAATAACACTAAAATCTTCTTGCATAAGTTACATCATTCAATTGAAGAAATTTTAAGACAACTTGCTTTTTTTGTGCACAGTATTATTATATTAATTTTATTATACTATTAACTTTAAGCTGGTATCTTTAAAATGAATGAAACCAACTAAAAACTATAAAACTTCTGATGTTTTTTATTCAGGTTTTTTAATTGGTGATTTTATAACTTTTGTTTTCTAAAATTAATTTTAAAGCTTATTCTTTAAAATGGTGTTCATTTGATACTGAGGTGTATTGTGTTTTGTTATAGACTATGCTATTATATTATTTTGTACTTTTCAAGAATCAGAATATCTAAATAAAACCAAACCCCAGTATAATGCTTTTTTTTTCACAAAGATATGTAGCTTGATGGCTTTAAATTTTAATGATATTCATACCTAAAACCTTTTTTTTTCTTCAGCCACACCAGTATATTTACCATCCACATTATAATCTTTTCAGCTTTTGTTTTGCAAGTAAATTACTTATGTTCCTCAATGTATTAAAACTCATTTTCTAAGTATCAGACTACTCATCAAGATTCATTAAAGAAGTATTATTCACAGCATCTGCTGTGCAATTTTCATTATTATTAACAAATTTCAAAATGATGCAATAAATATAGATATCCATATCATTTACGTAACAAAATGAATTAGTCCAATGACAGTATCTTGGGGAACATCGTTGTGCAACTTAAAAATTATTTTACAACAACTGTGTGATGAAAGCTAATTAGTTAATACCACAACCTAACTTGATACATGGAATCAAAGTTTTACAAAACATATCATTAAAAAGACTCAAGTTTATTAGGTTGACTGTTTTTGAATTCCTACTTGCAAGATAAATTTCCAAGTTATCCATGGAAATCACTAAGCTTTCTTCTTGTCAGATATTTTTGCTTTTAGGCACAACATATTTATTTTATATTTTAATAACTTTCACTTTAGTGTACAATATCTATAAAATAATTATTAAAGTGTGTATTTTGCTTATTCATTTCAAACAGCAAAGACATATTTTATGTGTAAATTTAGAAAACTTCTTTAACTCATAGTTTTGCATTAGAGTTGTGATGTACTTGTGCAGAAATGTATTAAGATAATTAATTAAAGAAAAACTGTGTGTAGAATTAAGCTGAGTATTTCTGTGATATTTTTTCAAATTTTGGAAAAATTCAATAACAATACTGTAGTTGTGAAAACTCAATATTTTATCCTGTATGAATTTTTCAGGCCTTTTGGAAAAGATGAAATAAAAGCAGCAGTAGCATAAGGCTCATACTTTATGCAAATGTGAATTTATATTTGTGATTTTGTGCCTTCTATCAGAAGATGGGTTCCCTTGTTTTTGCATTCAGAAAACTTGCTGTGATTACTGTCAGCTTACCATTGTTTTCTTTCCTGTTCTGTATTTTGTGGTCACTTCTTTATAACTTCAAGTCATCAACTGCTACACATTGCCATGTGGGTGTTAATGACTAAGTATACATTTCAGTAGTTGCATACTATATATACTGCTAATGTGTCCATTGAAAATCTTGTTTATAGCAAGTATGATGTAACTTAAAGTAAATTTTCAAGAATCCAAATAACTTTTAATACATATAGAGTACTATCATAGTGCATAAGAAAACTTTAATGGAAACGTAGTCTTATAGGAAACTACAATTATTTTGCATATCCAGTATGTGTATGGTACAATATGCTACTTTTTCTTTATATATATTGTGTATTTAACTAGTTATTTCAACATTAACTTACACTGAAGTTAAAATCACTAGTGATCTAACAGGAAAAGATCTTCAATGGTTTCAAAGTGCATTTTGACTAATACTTTATACTTTTATTTAAATTGTTAAAAAACAAAAAAGTGTAAATGGTATGTTTAAATAAAAGACTCGCAAAAGTCATGACAATGTTTTCACAATTTTTAGGGGAACATATTTATGAAGTTCTTATTTGTATTCTACCTCAGCAAGTACTTTAAATATTTAGAAAATAACTAATTTGCTGCTGATTTGGAGTGAAAAGTACTAGTAGTACACAAAATTCATATCAAATATAATTTTAATTTTTAAAACCAAATAAAATTATTACAGTCATTGATTTTAAATAACTATTTAACTTTATATATTATGGTTTCATTATGCTAAATTTAATATTACACTTTTAACATATTAAAATAGTTTTGACTGAATTTTTAGAATCAAATATAACAGGAAATATGCTAGCCAAGATGTATTAATTGTAATTAATGCCTTATAATTTGTGAAAAGAAATGTTTGGACAATTAAAATGTTAAGAAACTGTATACAGAGAATAGATTAAGTTTTAAAGATAGATGAGCATTGGAAATTTGACATGGAAACTGAGAAATATTAAAAAAATTTGGTTATTAAAATTATGGAACACAAAAGTTTGAGAGAGCTAGATCCAGGCTAAACTCTTGGAAGCCTAGATGGAAACATGCTATTCAACATCATTTGTTTTCAGTAAGAATTATAAACTTGTGGAATGGTTTCTTAAAAATGTGGTATGTGAAATTAGTTTAAATTATTTTAAAATATTGTTGGATAGATATGAAGGACTTGATTTAAACAGTATTTTAATTTAGAAATTACTTCAATGGGCCAAAAGATCTTCTGTCGTCTTGTCTTTTTATATGATCTTATACAATGTACATATAACAGGAAGAATTAAAGTACAAATCATGTACATCAATTGTTTTTACAAAATTTGGATAAAATTGTATAATTATCAACTTTACATTTCTCCTTTTGTTCTTTTCTAAATAGGTAATAATTTCCTTCATTATATATATTTTGAAAAAATATGTTTGTAATCTTGTGAAAATCTTTCAGTCTTATTAAACTTGCCAAATATCTTCTTGTGTGTAAAGCTATTGACAGTATACTGACAGCTCTCTAACAGTGAGCTATAGACAATTTTTTTGTGTTTTTTAAAGAGTATTGAGTTCAGTATTGTTTTATAAAATAATAATTATTTTTCTTTTAGGTGCCAAACTATCTGCCATCAATAAGTTCTGCGATAGGTGGCTTTAAACCTCAGATGTATGTTTGGCAAGTTGGAATTGGCCTTCATGCTACTCCGAGGTTTCTTATTGTTGCTATGTATTGCTCATTCTACAAAGAAGGTTTACACAAAGAAAAACTTTGGCAAAGACTTGGTATTTTGACTTCCGTTCTTCATGCTGTTGAGAACATTTGCTTGATTGGACTGACATATGTATCCTCTTCTGATAATCATAGTAAGTTATATATTTTCTTACATTTTTAAAAACTAATGCAGAAGGTGTTATATTTATGTAAAATGCATTTGTCTTTAATACCTGTGAATAGTTAAAGATACTTCTCTCATTCATTATTCAAAACTGTTAATGCTGTTCTGTGGGAGCAGTTTGTTCATTTATACATATAGCTTTCACTTGTTTTTAGGCATTTAATTTTTAGAAATACCAGCTGGTAGTGCACTTATTTTTTAGTTTTAACTGCATCCAGAACTCTTAATGAGGCCTCTTCAGAATTTTATAACAAGTTATAATAATTTTTCTTGGTTAAGCTAAAACTTGTACAAGTAGATCCCTAAATATTATTAGTTCTTTTCACAACAACTAAACAATCAGCTGAAAGCATAATGTTTTTATTAATAATGTGCTAAATACTTTCCTTTCTCCGCACTAACAAGCTCAAATTATTTAATAGATAAATCTTTCCAAAATGTATATGGTTCCAGAGCATCATTTAAAAATTTTAAACATTGAAACATTTTCTGTGTTCTGAACTGATCACAAAGATTGTCCAGATTATTCTTAAAAAGAGAAAGAAAAAGATGCTTGGATGTACTGTTATTGTTGAATATGTTCCTCTCAACAGTATCAACATTTGTGAAGAAAAGATGTGGAAGCCTAGCCTTTTCTTTGATTAACTGCTTCCACTGCAGTTTAATTGTTTTCCTGAATTCACAGTTCATCAGTGCTGCTCAAAGTGCAAAGCAAACAAAGTAGGCCTGGCCTCTTTCGTGGTGGAATGTAAGCAGTTTATTTGGATTTGATATATAGTCCTTTACTCACCACTAATAACCAAGAATACTTTTAAGATTTGGGATAATGATGAAGATTTTGATAGCCTTTTTCCATCACCAGATTTTGTCATGTCTTCCTCTGCCCCACCTGCAGAATCAGCTAGGCCTAATATGGCATCTTTAGACATGATTTCTCAGGTATGTGATGTTTTATCCATTTCCCCAATTTCCTATGATCCCCATCCTTCTTTGTTGCAAGCCAAACCTGTTCAGGCTGATGAAGATTTTGATAGCCTTTTTCCATCACCAGATTTTGTCGTGTCTTCCTCTGCCCCACCTGCAGAATCAGCTAGGCCTAATTGGCATCTTTAGACATGATTTCTCAGGTATGTGATGTTTTATCCATTTCCCCGATTTCCTATGATTTGTTGCACGATAGTTCCTCCTATCCATATTCAGTTTTCCCACCCCTCCCTGGATATTAGGGTCCATGCTGAGCAATTTGCTTCACAATTAGTTGAGGGTGCCTTACTTTCTTTCTACAGTATTCATCTACTATTCATTTTCTTTCTGAGGCAATCCACCAAGACCTTTAGCCTCTCCTTTATTACCTCCATGTTGGCTTGTTTGTCGTCTTCAGCTCTCACTTTACACACATGGTTTCTCTGTTGTTGGGATCTTCTTTGTTGAGATGTGGCCTTGTCCCAGGTTCATTTGCTGCCTCTTTATCTTAGGGATTTATGTATGGCCCCTTTTCTTTGGTGGTATGTTTTCAATCATGTACCTGAGACTCTGCAATCATGTGCAGAGTCTGTGTGTCAATAGTCTACCCTTTCCTCTTTGGTAGTATGTTTGTTGCAATCGGAGCCAAGGCAAGCCCCCTATTCCTGTTTCCCATCCTAGTCCTTCTGTGCCCTTACCTGTTCCTCCTTCCAGGGGTTTCTCATCTCATAGTTTTATTCAACGTTGATTAGCACGTCACCAACAGTGACTACCCAGTGGGTTCTGGTTCGGTACGAATTGGTTCCCCATTGGTGATCTTTCACCACAGATCCATGGGTTCTTTGGGTTTTATCAGAGAAATTATCCTGCAATACCCCCCCCCCCTCTTTTGTCTCAGTTACCTGTTTCCTTCCACATGCTTCGGGATCTTACCACCTGTCAGAGGTGGTACAAGACCTTCTGTCTCAACAGGCCATCAAACATATTCATCATCTTTTATTCCAGGCTGTTTGCTGTCCCCAAGAAAACTGGAGACTGGCAGCATGTAATATATTTGTCCTGCCTCAGTCAGTTTTTCAATCTGCCCTATTTTACCATGGAGTCATTTCTCACCCTCAAGTGGGCTTTTTCTCCAGGTTTATAGATGACCCGGATGGATGTCGCGAATGCTTATATATGCATATCCTGATATCTCATCAGTCACGACCCTATCTTCGGTTTGTCCACCATGGGGTGGTTTATCAGTTTCTCGCTCTGCCTTTTAGGCTTGCTTTGGCTGTTTATGTTCTTTTATGTTGGGTGGTTAGAGCATTCATTTGTCATTTACATGCTTTAGGGTTGTGCTTTCATCATTGTATGGATGAGTGGCTACTGTTAGCACGTTCCAAACAGGAGTTTGCTTGTTACACTCATCAGTTGCTCTTGGAGGCAGCTCAAGTGGGCTGGTTGACCCTGTCACCCTGAGTATCCTGTACTGTGCATGACACAAGATTTTAGTGTCTTAGATTCAAAATGTTATCAAACTACTTATTGTTTGTTATACCAATTTGAATAGTATAGAACCTTAGCTAATAATCCATATTTTAATATTATACAAGTTTTAAGTTCTTAATTCTACAAGGAAATATATAAAAAAATCCTGAATTTCCACTAGTGAGATGCATTTTGTCTTAGCATGTCATCATCCCTATTTTATCCATCACCCCTTGAAAATGTACGAAATTAAATGTAAAATACTCTCTATACAATCGTTATTGCTCAAACAAACCATAATTACTATACAAAACCAGGCTTAACTCTCCTCGACAATCGAGGGCAAGAAAAAGAAAATTGGGTAAGTACTTTATTTCTTGTTTTTCTTACTTATTCTTTATTTATAATTATAAAAGTAACTCAAGTTAAAAATAGCAATCTTCTTAAGTTTAAGACTAGATTAGGTTAAATAAGTAATAATAATATAATTAAAATGGTTCATGAGGCATGCACGTGAGCAGCTCGTGGATAATGTAATTTGATAGTGTAATGTGAGCTGCACGTATCTCGAGTGATTTACAACTTATAATTGTGCTGATAGTAGGTCAACATGGTTCAAAGGGCAATAAAACAATAAAATTTAATTATAAATAGATGTATAATATTAAGAACTTAGAGCTACTTAGGAGAAAATTATATTAAACTTGTGAATCAATTCTATCGTTAACTCTTTCAACCTGGGCTCGGTCCCTGGGACCAACCT